TTATGGTCAATAATTTATATTTATATGGATGCATGGACATTTATTTTATTCTTTGAGATATGACCCAGGATTTGTGTTTTATTTTAACAAATAAAAATTTGTTAAGAATTTTCTAGTTTAACCTTTGTTTGAGCTTATAGCTTATTCAGTCTGCGTCTGTCCTAAGTAATGCTGAGCTCTTATTTCTTCCCGTGGATGCCCGTCACTTTTTAGATTTCATGTTGCTTGTTTTTCTGTAATCTCAGTTCTCTGATGAGCTTGAAAAAAGTAATTAATTTCCAGCAATGCTCTTGCCAGCTCTCTATGTCTCTGAAGTCATTTGCTAGACTGATATCTGTCAAAAGCACCTTTCCATTTATCCATGAAAATGTCCAGAAAAATCTCTGATAAATCATGATCCAAGAGCTCATATGAGAATAATTTCTGACTCATTGGTTCTGTGTGCTTTGAAATGTTTTGATCCAGGCTGGTGCCATTAAAGAAGATAAAAATAGAGAGATTACTTCTTAGCGTCACTTCAGTTCTCTCCCTCTGCCTCCATCCCATTTCTGCCTCACTCACAAAACCTATTACACACACGGACCATGACTCTTGGCTTGTTTTACATCCGCACTATCAATCATGCTCTTTGGCCTTACAGCAATATGCTCACTCCCTACTTTGTCCTCAGTGGAGAATATAGTAAATTACCAAAAACAGAAAGCTCACATTACTCCCATAAAGTGTAGTTAACAAGCAGGGGGAATGTTCATGCAATACCCTCATCAATCAGCCCCATGCCAAGGCATAACAGTAAATATCAATGGCAAAAAAATAAAAGCTTTTAAACTGGGCACACTCCCAGGATCTTAGGAATAAAGGCAACATGCATTTAGGACTCAAGAGAGGTGGAAAGGTTGAAACAGGTCAGGAAGAGTAAAACTAACACTGTCTCATAGATATGAACAACAACCTTAGGAAAAATCCATTACATAATACACCTGATGCTGATGAATTAGCATGGAAATGTACTGTCTTGTACGATAGAAAAATACTATAAAAATGTTGGGGCGCCTGGGTGGCTCAGGTGGCTAAGCATCCAACTCTTGATTTCACCTTAGGTCGTGATCTCAGAGGTCGTGGGTTTGAGTCCCATGTCAGACTCTACACTGACAGCATGGAGTCTGCTTGGAATTCTCAGTCTCCCTCCCTCTCTCTCTCTCTCTCTCTTTCAAAAATAAACTTTTCATTTTATTTTATCTTATTATATTTTATTTATTTTTTTAACTTACATCCAACTTAGCATATAGTGCAACAATGATTTCAGGAGTAGATTCCTTCATGCCCCTTAACCATTTAGCCCATCCCCCCTCCCACAAAGCCCTCCAGTAACGCTCTGTTCTCCACATTTAAGAGTCTCTTACGTTTTGTATCCCTCCCTGTTTTTATATTATTTTTGCTTCCCTTCCCTTATGTTCAGCTGCTTTGTATCTTAAAGTCCTCATATGAGTGAAGTCAACAAACATTTTTTTTTTAAAGACACTATAAAAATGTATTCTGGGAAGGGATCCAATATGGCAGCAAGGAAAGACCCTAAACTGATCTCCTCCTACAGACACACCAAATCTACAGCTATGTATGGGTAATTTCTCTGTGAAAAAGATGTGAAATCTAGATGAACTGCTTCCCCGCGACAAAGGATAAAAGAATCTTGAGACATGTAGGAGAGGCAGAGACATAGGTCTTCACAAAAAAAACTCAACCCCCAGTGTCCCAACACACGGTAGGGAGGGATCTCACCAGTCTAGTGCTTCTTCTGGAAGAGTGAGGGGTTGGTGCCTGACATCAGGCACCCCAACCCTTGTGATCTGCAGCGGAGAGATGAACTCCCAAAGATGCCTGGCTTAGAAAACCATGGAGGCTGCCATCCCAGGAACCCAAGTGCTACAGGAAACAGAGATTCTCCTTTTAAATGGCTCCTGTTCGGTCTCACTCACCAGGGGAGCCTGCTCAAAAGCACCAATTTTAAAAGCGCCTAGACTGACGTCAAAGTCTCTGAGACCCTCGCTCACCTGAGGGTATCTGCCGGAGGGGCAGGGGAGAGTCAGGGGCCTCTCTGGAGGCTCTGGCAGACACTGTGGGCTTTTCACCTACTCTGCTGGCACAGGTGGGCACACCTGTGCCTGTCTAGGGCTAGTTCACTCCCTGACTAGGGCAGGCTAGCAGGACGAGTCGTGGCATCTTCCTGCCCCCAGCCTGGGATCTGGGACAGGGCGATCTCTTGCAGCATTGCTGGAAGCCATGAGTGCATGCATTCAAGGCATTTTCCTGTTCTCTTTCTGAAGCCAGAGAGCGTGCTTTGCCCCCTACACATACCAGCTGCCTTGCTAAAGCCAGTAGGCATGTGCAAACCACACAAGAGATGCCCCTTGTTTGCATGGCCCTGGTGGCCAAGGGAGTCAGCACTGCTAGGCTCCAGGGGACCATAACAATTGGAAAGACACTCCTTGGCAGGTCAACTGCCCCAGGGCACTGCACAGACGACAGAAACACACCCCCAGTCTTCCTGTGAAAAAGACCAATTTACTTACCCTTCAACCTGAGGGACAAGCTTCAGGTTTCTCAGACTCCCAGGGAATAGAAGCGGGGAGACACCATCCCTGGGCACCCCACTGGCCTCACTATAGCTCTGCCAAACATCCCAGAAAGGACCTTAAACATTTATCTAGGGCCCTGATGTTTTAAACTGTCACCCAGGGACACCTCCAGGTTCCCCAATCTGGAGTCCAGCTGGGTTTATGATTGTGACCCTACAGGACTATAAATATATTCACACTTTAAAAGCTTCTGCCTGAGGGTCTGGCTTCCAATCAGCCTGAAACTAAGGGTTAAATTAGATTTCTCTCCTTGGAACATTGCCAGATCTTGGCACCCCCTCAACAGTGGCAGCATATCAAAATAAATCTGCCTGTTTAGACAATGACAAAAGGTAGGAAACAACCAAGAACTAGGACAAGGGTGAGCGAGAAAATTCATCTTTACATGTGGCAACTCCTTCAAGACTGAAAAGTTGTTGTTTTGCCAAATATAGGGAAACACAGAAAGTCCAGCAAAACGGGGAAACGAAGGAATATTTTCCAAATAACAGAAGAAGATAAAACTTCAGAAAAACCTTAACGATACGGAGATAAGTAATCTACATGTAATGACTCCAATTTCATAAAGATGCTCATCGAACCTAGGAGAAGAATGCATGAACACAGTGGGTACTTCAACAGAAATAGGAAGTGTGAGAAGGTACCAACTAGAAGTCACAGAGTTGAAGAATACAATAATTAAACTGAAATGTACACTACAGAGGTTCAACAGTAGACTGGATGAAACAGAAAATAGGGTCTGAGAGCTGGAGGACAAAGCATTAAAATTCACCCAGCTAGCGTGGCAGAAAGAGAAATGAATTTAAAATATTAAAGATAACTGGGCACCTGGGTGGCTCAGTTGGTTAAGCATCTGACTTTGGCTCAGGTCATGATCTTGCAGTTCATGAGTTTGAGCCCTGCATGGGGCTCTGTGCTGACATCTCGGAGTCTGGAGCCTGCTTTGGATTCTGTGTCTCCCTCTCTCTCTGCCCCTCCCCCGTTCATGCTCTGTCTCTCTCTGTCCCAAAAATAAATAAACGTTGTAAAATATGTTCACATTTAAGTTAGTGACCACATAAAACAGATGATTATATACATAAGGTGTTATATGTGACACTCATAGTAACCACAGGAAAGTAACTGTAGTAAATATATAAAAGAAAATGAGAAGGGAATCTAAGTGTAGCACTAAAGACACACATCATATCACAACGGAAGAGAGAAAAGGAAAAAGAGAGAAAGAACAGAGCGGAAGTACAGAAAGAGCCAGGGAAAAGCCAAATGGCAATAGTACATACCTGTCAACAATTACTTTGATGTAAACGCACCAAATTCTCCAATCAAAAGACACAGAGTGGCAGAATAAATTAAACAACAACAACAACAACAACAACAACAACAAACAGAACTCATCTACACACTGCCTATAAAAGAGTCACTTCAAAAGAGGTTAGAGTGGGAGAGAGCCAAAGCATAAGAGACTCTTAAAAACTGGGAACAAACTGAGGGTTGATGGAGGGTGGGAGGGAGGGGAGGGTGGGTGATGGGTACTGAGGAGGGCACCCTTTGGGATGAGCACTGGGTGTTGTATGGAAACCAATGTGACAATAAATTTCATATATTGGGGGAAAAAAAGAGTCACTTCAGAAACAAGGACACACAGAGACTAAATGTGAAATGGAAAGAATAGAAAAAGATGTTCCACACAAATGGAAGTGAAAAGAAAACCAGTGTGTCTGTTCTCTTATCAGACAAAATAGACTTTAAAAGAAAGACTATATTTTAAAAGAAAACAAGGAAAGGCATTACGTAATGATAAAAGGCACAATCCAACCAGAAGACATAACACAAATATGAGGGCACCCGGGTGGATCAGTCAAACATCAGACTCGGTTTCAGCTCAGGTCCTGATCTCACAGGTTGTGAGATCGAGCCCCACATCGGGCTCTGTGCTGACAGTGTGGAGCCTGCTTGGGATTCTTTCTCTCCCTCTCTTTGCCCCTCCCTGCTCTCTCAAAATAAATAAATAAAATTGAGAAAAAACATTTTTTAAAAACACAAATACGTATCGACATACCTCAGGAGCACCAAAATGTATACAACACATATTTACAGACCTAAAGAGGGAAAGGGACAGTGATACAATAATTACACTATACAATACAGGACTGATACAATACAGGACTTTAATACGTCATTTACATCAATGGATAGGTCATCCACACAGAAAATCAGTAAGAAAACATCGACCTTAAATGACCCATATGTATTGGGATGAACAGAAAAGATGTCATGCACACACACATGCACACGTGCATACACACACACACTAGAATACTACTCAGCCATAAAAAATAATGAAATCTTGCCATTTGCGACAACATGGATAGACCTAGGGAGTATTCTGCTCAAAGAAATAAGCCAGACAAGTACCACGATTTCACTTATATGTGGAATCAAAAACCAAAACAAACAAACAAAACAAAACTCAGACTCATAGATGCAAAGAAGAGATTGGTGCCTATCAAGGGGAGGAGTGTGGAAGCTGGGGGGAGACGAGGAGCTACAGGGCTGGGGGGGGAGGGGCTGTGGTCCAGCCGGCTCTTCTTCTGTCCCCTCCCCCTCCCTCAGGGGCCCTCTGTGACCAGGTCACGGCTCTGTGATGTGAGCCTGGGGCTCTTGTCCCCAAGTCCAAGCTCAGCGCTCAGCTGCGCGAGGACAGTAGTGGGATCAGGAACTAACGCTTCGAGTAAGGAGATGGAGAATATTCTCTTCGCTCTGAGAAGCGTTAGCGCTGATTGGCTGAGCTCCAGCCTCCCCTCCTGGACAACCCAGACCATCTTCTGCTTCCTGTGTGGACTGTCGTTCTTCCTCCTGCTGATCTCCTGCTTCCAGACGGACCCAACATCCTCAGCACCACGAAGGAAACGCAGAAGCAGCAGAAAGGTAAGGAACCTTGGCCCGGGGAAAGAGAGCACCATCCTCCCAGGCCAGGCCAGGCCAGACCGGGCAGGGGTTAGAGGGGCAGGAGGGCTTCTCCCGGGAGATGTCGGGCCAGGAGGCCGGGTGTGGCAGAGGGCCGCGGCCCCAACACAGTGACCGGAGGACTGGAGGCCCAGAGCTCCATCTCCGGGGGAGGACAGGCTGCTGGGCACCGGGCCGGCAGCCACCTTCCCGGGGCAGGTGTCTCAGGAGAGCTGGCCTCGGTTGGGGCCGATCGAGGGCGGCGCCGAGCCCGGGAGACCCCGAGCAGGGGCGGCAGCGGGGCTCGGGTCTCGGGAAGCGAGGTGCTTCCTCCAGGCGCTGAGACGCACCCGCAGGTCTGGGAACGTTTCTCGAGCAGAGGAACAGGGACGGAGAGATTTCTCGCATCGAAAATCCGCGCGTCCATTCTTCAAAGTAGAAAAACCGAGAACAGTTTTGTCCACTTTGCAAATGAGGAACAGGAAAGAAAGCCACCCCCCCCCCCCCCCCCCCCGCCCCATGAGTTGAATGTAGGAAGTCGCTCTGTTCTTGAACACAGAGCACCTGCAGCCAGAGAGGCGAGAGAGACGGGGGGGTCCCATCCCCCCAACCCCGTGTTCTCTCGTCTCTGCAGCAGGTGGCGCCACGGCGAAGGAGCACCAGAGGCAAGAACAGGGAGATCCTGCAAGGTAAGGGGCCGCCGCGGAGCCCTGCGCCCCTGGCGAGTGTCCCTCCTGCTCCGAGCGCCCCAGCCCGGCCGTCTCCGGGACACCTGCGTCCGTCCCTCAGGAAACAGAGCCCCGGGAGGCTCCCGGGACGGAGGGCGGAACCCCGAGGCCTCCCAGATTCTGGGCCGGAACCAGCCCGAGGAGGGGCCGGACACGGGTGTCGCCCGGCAGGGGCCTGGGACCTCCAGCTCCAGCTGTGGCCAAGTTGTGGAACTTTGCTCAGGTTCCTCGGGGAGGCGACCCGGCCCTTTCTCCCCCCACAAGGTCACGAGTGGGGAAGCTCTCCGTAAAGGACCAAGCGACCCCCACCGTGGGTCTTGCTGCCACCGTGAGACCACGTGGCCTCGGACACCGATGTTCGGGGCTCCCGAGTCTAACCCCCCAAAGGTGTCCCCTAAAGGGACACTGCACCCGCCTCCCGTAAGACCCCCGGGACCCCGCCTTCGGCTCTGTGACCGGGTCTCCCGTCTCCAGCTTACAGAACCTGCCTGCAGGAGCTGGAAGGGGTTCGGGACCTGGTTTCCCTTCTGCAGAGGTAAAGAATCTTGCCCCTTCTCTCCCGGGTGGGCCTCTCAGAGCCTCCGGTGGGACCCCAGGGCTGCAGGGGGCGGGGGGAGCCCTGGGGACGGAGATCGGATACGGCCCCGGGGGGAGGGACGGCGGGAGCGCTGTGAAGCGCGTGCGGGGCCCGGAGGGCGGTGATGGCCATGCCCGGCCCTGTCTGCTCCCGGCTGCAGCGCGTGCCTCCTCGTGTCTCCCGCAGCCACTTGGGGCGGCTCTCTGACCAGGGAGACCTTCAGCAGCTCTTGGGGCAAGAAGCCCCTGGGGCCAAGGGCAAAGCAGCACCTGCCGGAGCCCATCAGCCCCTCGGGGCGCCCGTGAGAGATGCCGCGCCTGCCAGGGCCCCGCGGGCGTCCCCCACTCTCAGCCAACACCCTCCACGCCTGGCCTCCATCCTACCAGTAGGACCTCAAGAAGACCAATGTAACTTAAAGAGAACCCCAGCGGACACAGTCACAGAGAGCTCACCTCCAGGCAATTCCCATTTGGCACCTCTCGTTCCAGCCGTCTCAGGCCTTGGCCATGCAAGCTACCCCATCTTGTCCTTGTCCTGGTGATGGGAAAGCACCAAGTCCTGGTTCTTCTCCATCTGGGCACAGCGCGAGTGCCACCAACAACACCTGACCTGCCACCCAAAAGAGGCCTTGCCCTGGGGTGGCCCTTCCAGAAGGCAGATAGAGACTCGTAACCCCTCATTTGTCAACCCGGACGTCCAGAAGCTGCTGGAGATACTCATCACCAAAAGGGCGGAACAGAAGATTTGGAAGGAGAAAGAAAGGGACGGGTCAGTTGTGAAGCAGTTGGACTCAGACAACCCCCTGAACTGTGGGGGGACTTTGTGGAAGTTGCTGGGTGCTGAGCAGGACACCACAACCCCACGATCCTTCTGGCACCGGAAAAACAAACTCGAGAAGCTGCCCAGTCCTCGGCGGCTGTCATTCCCCAAGGTCTCGGAGGGCAACTCACAGCAGAAATGCAGCCAGCTCTTCTGAGGTCTCCCCTCTCTGCACAGTGAGTCCCTCAAGGCCCCTGCCTTGGCCTCTAGTTCTCAGCTACACGTTCCCTCTGTTTTGTTCAATGTTATCTCTAATTGCTTGCCAATTCTAATTCAGCAGCAAATATCTTCACGGTTTCCCCCTGCCCCACCCTTGCCCTGCCGTGGGATCCAGCCCCAACCCTCCACGCCAACCGTGTCCCAGCCCCAGGCCCACCTTGCACCCTCTGTCCCAATCAGACCTCCTTCTCCTCCACCCCAGATGAGGACCTATGGGGTATCTGGCCCTCCATCCCAGAAGAAGACACCACCTTCCATTCCAACTGAAATTCAACCTCGGGAACAGCCCTTGTTGCAAAAGCAACCAGAAGGGGAAAGGATGTTACCCTTAGTGCTGAAAATATCTCCCAAATTCTTAAGCAGGATCCCTCCTAAGCTTCTCCAGGACAGCCAGGCCTCTGAGGCCCATGAGTCAGTTTCCATCTTTCACAGGGATTTTGTCATCTGTGATATCCAGAAGCAAAACCTTCAAAGGAGGCTTAGCAAGGATAAACACCAGGGCAGTCTGGCCCACAGGGTCCAAGTGTCTCTGGACCCGATGTGGCCTCAGGGTGAATTCCCAAGGGTGAGTCAGGCACAGGACAAGCAGGGGCTCTCAAGGTCCTTTGCATCTAAATCCAAAAGCAGCCAGGCCACACAGAGGACCAGGTCCAGACACCCTAGAAGTTCCCGTAGGAAGGGCCGAGCAAGGTTTCCACTAAAGGACAACTTTGGTATGGGTCTACAGCGATGTCTGAGAAGGATCCCAACAGATCTCTCCAGGGTCTCAGCCAACTTCCCAGTGAAGGTTCCAGGAACTAGCTCTGAGAAGGAGTTAGAAAGATACTTGATGAGGACCTTGAAGAGGGACTCAGGAAAATACTTGACTAGGAGCCCAGATAAGAAACGTGGAGAAAAAACCCTGAAAGTTCATTTGCGCAAGAAATTGGGACAGATCAGCGAGGGTTTGATCCCCGTGAGTGTACTTCGACCCTGGCTTGTGGCCAACCATATTTTGCCCAAGTTCCACACTCACACGGAAATCAGAAATTCAGCACCCTTGAAGGGTCGGAAACCCTGCGTAAACACCTCCCATGAGCTGTCTTTCCTTAATTCACTCACTCAACAGACGCTGGAAGCACACATCATAAGGTTTCGGGTGAAGCATAAGTGGGGCCCACCCCTCCAAGCCTTTGAGTCCATAAATCTCAAGCCATATGAAGCTCAACCCTTGCCCTTTCCCCGGTGCCCATCTCCCTGCTTGGCCACCTGTGTATCTGGGGCCCACTCAAAAGCCAAGTTCTACAAGTTCCTGGGAAAACCTCCTCAGCCCTATCCGGGAGAAAAGGGGATAGGAGAAGAGTCTCTTCCCACCTCAGGGAGTTCCCTGCCTGCCCCCTCACCCCCATCTGAGGAAATCCAGAAATCCCTGGAAGGGACCTCACCAGGTGACAGCCATGAGCCCTCGGAGGCCCCTTTACCTGGACAGGAGGGCAGCTCACCTTCTCCGACCTTCACACTCAGCCTCATAAACAGAACCCCTCAGAGTGAGACAGTCATAGGGGCCAAGAAAGGCAATCTGGAGCCAAGTCTAAGTTCAGAAATAGCCAGAAATGAGCTAAGGGTGAAAAGGGGGGCTCAGGCTTCACGAGAGAATGTAGCAATACTGGAGATGAAGTCCAGGTCCCAATCTTCAGGAGCTGAAGAGGCCAGGGAGACGATGGAGGCTGAGAAGGCCCCTGCTTGGAAAGTCATCTTAGGACCCAGGGTGCTGGCCAACAGTCAAACCAGTTATGTGGATCAGAGGAGATTGGGGTCTCCAGGGACTAGTAAAAGCCCCTCACCACCTACAGAGTTGGTTGCCCAAGAGCCAAAGGAACCAATCCTTAAAACAAAGGTGGCTATTAAGTTTGGGCTCCAAGAGAAGGAAGAGCCAGAGGGCCAGCCTCAAGGCTGTGCCACTGGTGTACTTCTTCAAGGTTCTCCCCATAACATCACCCTTCAAGACTTTGCCACTGGCATTCTTGTCCAAGACTGTGACACCGGTGTGCTCCTGCAAGACTCTCACACTGATGTTTTCCTTGCTGAAGACATCTTGAAGTCACCCTCCGGTTCCCAGGGTCAATATTCCAGCAGGGAAACACCAGCTTCCCTGGTGCCAGAAACTGACCTGATATCCAGCCGACCAAGCAGCCAGGGGCAGCAGGAGCCCAGTGTACCAAAAGCTGATGAGCCACGTAAGAGCCAGAGCAAGATGACTGCCTCCACTGGTGAGAGAAAAGGCCAGAAGAGTCCCAAACTAGAAGGGAATAAAAAAGGGTTTGTAGAACTGAGGGCTTCCCAAGCCAGTAGGCTGAGCCACCCTCCCCAGGTTACAGGAACAGGGGACAGCCTTGGGAGCAAATGCCTCCAGCCCGTGCCAGAAAAGGGACAGATTTTTCCAGAAAGCCACTTCAGAAAAAAGATGAGGTACTTTCTGCATTATCTTCATCTCAATAAAAAAGGCAAAGGACTGGAAGATCCCCTTCAAAGAGGCAATCCCGCATCAGCCACTGTCCAGGGCCGAGGACCAGTAAGAAGCAGATCGGTTGGGGGCGGCAAAGCTGTTGAAACTCAGACGATTGTGACAACTGTGGGACAGATCCTGGTGCAGAAACTGGGACTCCACCAAGGACTTCATGCCTCAGAGGTAAATCAGCACAAAGAATTCCAGGGCCCAGTGGGTTCCCCTACCCAGACCAGAGGAGGGAGATGAGAGAGACAGCCTCCAATCACCAGGCCACCCCCAAGTCCCACAGCTGTCCTAACAAGAGCCAACGAACCAGAGACAGGGATGGCAGGCCAACCTTCCCACCCAGGGAGCCAGGGTCCCCAAGCGGGCCCTGCCACCATAAGCCGATGGTGGCAGGAGCCTCAGATCACGTCCACCGTCACCCAGTATGCAGTCTTCAAAAATGTGGCTCATCCCATCAAGCAGCGGGTGCTTCTCACGCCTTTCCTGGTAGGAAAGCTTTTCTTCAAGAAAAAATTGAGTATATGCAGAGAAAGCCTGTTTTTTCTCAGGGTAGCACATCTCCTCTATGTGCTAATGGCTTCTTCCCACCACAATTTTTATTTTCCCAAAATATATGTTGTTTTTTAATTTTTCTCATGAGAGGAGCTGGCCTCTGTCTGTGCCCCGCGGGGCGGGGGGGGGGGGTGGAGGAAGGGGAAGATCCGGGCATGCTCTCCCCCAGTGCCTGCTTTGGCTCCCAGGAATGGAGCCCTGGAAGGAGGATGGCCACGTGGTATACTCCAGACCCCCTCCCTCACACACCTTCGGTTTCCAAAACAAACGAAAGAGGAACACAACCCAGAAGACCCCACCCCGGGATCTGGCTCCGGCCTTCCCGTCCTGCTGTCTCTCTACCTTGACCTTGGGCGGCTGTAGGGGAGGGTCTGCAGGGGCAGAAACCCCTCGGCTCCGGGGCGCCTGGAAGACAGCGTCAGGCGTCAGAGCCGCGAGCCGAGTTTGGAGGCCAGGTTGGCCCTGACGGCAGCGGTGGGAGGAATCCTGTCCCACCCCCGACCCGTCGCCTGCCCCGGGACCCCTGATGGGGCTGGGGTGCAGATCGGCCGGGAGCCGCCCTTGGCTCAGCGTCACCCCCCTGCTTTCTCACACTCTGGACCAGCACGGGACGAGGACGTGCTCCCGGCCCGGGGAGCAAGCGGGTGGGGGGCGCAGAGGCCGCGAGGGACCAGCGTACCCTGCCCCCGGGGTGCGGTGACCCAGGAGCCCGCGGTGCCCACTGCCACCTGCAGGCACCCAAAGAGAGGAGTCTTTCCTGCGGTTCACCCCCAAGGTCCCCCCCCCCGCCCCCCGCTGTGGCCACGGAGCCCGGGGTTGGGGGGTAGGGGGGAAGGGAGGCCGCCGGGGCCCCTCCGCAGACGGCCAGGCTGGCACAGGAGGCCCGGCCGGGCAGGTGCCCTTCTGAGCAGTCTGGGGGCCCCGGGCGGACTGGGACTTAACGAATGGCCCAAGGACAGGCCCCGAGGCGGGTGGGGGTCAGGGTGGGGGTACTCACTGGCGTGGTGCGGAGTCCCACCCCAGGAGGGACCCTGAAGACCGCAGCAGGGGTGGCCCTGTCCCCACGCAGGTCAGGACCCCGCAGGTGGGCAGCGGGCACAGGCCTGCTCAGGCACAGCTTCTCTCCGGGGAAGCAGTGGGGGCCAGACAGTGACAGTGCGGCCAGGACCTGGGGGGTTGGGGGGAGAGGAGACCAGGACAGAGAGCGCCCGGGTCCTCTGGAGCTCAGGACAGGGTGACCTGGAGCAGGGTCCCTGAGTCTGGCTGCTCCCGGGTCCTCTCGGCGGCACCAAGAGGTGGACGCGGTCCCCACAGGCCCCTCCAGAGAAGGGCCACAGGCAGGATGCCGAGGGAGCAGCAGGAGACAGGAAGGAGCAAGTCCCCTGTGCCCTCCTCCTGCCGGTGGTGCAGTAAGGCGGGAAAGGGACGCCCCGCACTATGAGACCCCCACAGAGATCTCTGACAGAGACCCCACACACAGACCTCCAC